ATTAATCGATTAATTGAAAAAATAATCAACCGAGTAATCGATTATTAAAATAATCGTTAGTTGCAGCCCTAGTGTATTCAATTGAATTAAGGTTGAAAAGGATTTGCAAATCAGCATATTCTGTTTTACACAATGTCCCAACTTCATTGGAACTGGGGTTGTCAGTCAAAAAAGGGACTAATCAGTGATGCAACATATATTAGGAGATAGAGACAATTMAATAAAGTTCAAGAATTTTATATGAGCTTGTATGATAGGATCTGAACAATAATTTGTGCAGCTTTTTTATTTAGTTCTGCAAAAAAAAGAGAATGTTTAAAAGTTTCCATGAAAAGATGTGACACTATTATCTGAGTACTAACCATTGTCCAAACAGTGTACATTACAATACGCAGATATTTCAAACTAAATGATCTCATGACATTGTATATAAATTGCCCACAAGGCTCAAGCCACAGCATTTAATTTGTGGGCTATTTTTTAGCCATACATGACAGACTAAACTGGGTATTTCAAACTGCAGTGGAACACTGAAAAAAACATAGGCAACATAAGGGTGTTAGTAGACCAGTGTGCCTCAGCTTCTCTTGTTCCATCTGATTGTGACCACGCTGAGGTCAGTATTATCAGTTTGTTTGACGTGCGGTGGTTAAAAACCGAACTTCATCAGTTTTTATTGCAACTATATGCAACTGCTGTTCCTGTTCTGTTCCTAGTTTAATCATATATGTGCTGGCACACGTGACGATGTATGCAATATTTAGCTACACACGCGTGCACAAAAACAAAAATCTTGCCAAGAAAATCAATGAAATTGGCTATGATATGCAAGCTGAATCAGACAAGACAGGCGGTCTTTGTTTTCTTCTCCTTTGGGCAAACAATTTGTTCAAGCAAAATCTTCTGAATGTTCTTGGCTAAACAGAGATCATTCATAAAATATTAAACTTAGGCTGCCATGAAAAGCTGAGGTTGCTTTTTAACAAGTAATCTGGGGAAAACTACTGTAAAAGTATCTGCCAGAATCACTTTTGAAGGCCATCTCCATTGAAACATGTTGCAATGATCTGTTATTGATTGCAGATATGAAGCTCAGTGGTCAGCCAGATGGTGCGTTTTAGAGGAAGATAGTGTGTGCACTGCCACAAACGAACACCTCCAAAAGCAACCCCGAGCAACAGATGTTGCTCTTATCTGGGGGTTGTTGGTGCAGTTAAACTTCTGTTGAGCCAATAACCGTGTAAACTTATCTACCCCAAACATTTTCATGCAAATGTGTGTCGTATTGTGCTGGATGGCACATTTAAGGCCAATAAACAGAAAATCAGGGTTTACAAATTGTTAAATTAAAGTGGTTTTACTCTTATCAGTAAAGCTTCACCTGTACTTGGAGCAAAAAAAAAATGTAGATGGGTGGTTTTTTTTAAGCAGATGTATGATGACTTACACGAAAAGAGCCTACCTCATTTTGAGGCAACAATGCCCCTTACAAGTGGGCAGACAATGCTGAACTCTCTGTGCCTGATCAGATGACTAACATTACAGAGAAGACAAGGCCACAGTCTTTTTTGAAACCGAGGCCAAACACACAGGACTGGTTCAACTCTCGGAGTTTTATAGCTTGCATCAGAGCATTTGTGTGGGGTTGCTCAATATTGCCTCAGCTTCAAAGGTCATGCAAACCTGAGCATCAAAACTGAACAGAGGTTCTCTTTTTTTTTTCACACCCCCACCTGCTCAACCAGAATATTAAAGTCTGATGACTGATAAACCTGATTATCCACACAGCTAATAGGTGTACTCACATGTTCACACTGTGGTTTGTCACTTCAGATCAACAATAGTATACAATGATTGTATTTCTTATCACACCTTTACATTCCAATATTTACTTTTCACGAGTGATCGTTCTTCTAAATCAGGATCTGTGGACATAACTGCTCAAACAAGACTGAAATCATGCATGCTTAACATTCATATTGCATTCTAAAAATGAAATTTGCATGTTGTTTGAATCACACAATCATATCTTGAATGTTAAGATTGTCTGTTAGACTTGAACAGTCAAAATAAGCAGGTCTTATTGTATTGAAGCAATAATGAGACATTAAGGCAACAAAACACTGCAAATTAAATCCAAGTTACTCACTTTGCTTAAAATGCACAATTCATTTACTGAATGAAGACTGTCCCAAAGTGCTTTCCTTGCTTGCACATGTGCATTGAGCTCTTCTTGGAAAAACATTCTAACATTACTTTTTCAAATTTAAATAACCAAGTTTTGTGAAACTAGATGGCCAAATTATGACAATCTAACGTTTTATTGTTTTAGTGTAGCAACTATACATGCATTTAGTGTAAAATGATGCAGAAGCAGTTAAACAGTGCAGGTGGAGAGGGTTTTTTTTTTCTTTCTTTACCCGTCCATTGGGAGTCAAGTCCTCCTTGTTGCGCAATTCAAAAGACTCTTCCTCCTCTTTCTCCCCATAGTCCCGTCCCAGCAAACTGAAGCCCTGCCTGCAGCACGAGAACCAGCAAACTCCTTGCAAAGGCATTCAAATAGGGTTAAGAGTGTCGTTTTCTGCTGCCCAGGTCGGTGGAGTCAGCGTTCACGGCGCGAGAAGTGCGAGTCCAGGAGTTGCATGAGAGCGCGCAGCTCTCCATAGAGATCCAACAGGAGGGAGAGGAAGCCCAGGAAGCCCGTCCTCTCCTTTCTGGGAAAAAGAAAACGTCTAGTAAGTGTTCACACTACTGACAGTCATAGTCCGACTCAACGGGTGAGATTTGAGGAAAATCTGTCAGGGCTCCAGCTGTTTGCTTAACTTCCTAAACGGAAAAAATAAATAAAATAGATCAAATGAGCTCTCCAGCACCGCTACGGTTTGTGTTAAAATAACGGCACGTGTGTCATCATCATCTGTTGGTGAGCAGCAGTGATAAAATCCACCTCTCGCTCACCGCTGACGAACTACCAGAGTTTTTGGAACAAAAGCGTGCAGCAGCTGGGTCAGGATGGTGTGGGGGAAACAAGCCACGCCCACTGACCTACAGTCCCACAGGCGATTGGCTTAGAGCAGACACTCCCCGCAGCGACACGCCCAGAGCCGCGCCCCTTTGCTCTGACTGCACGCTCGCGCGCTGCGCGCCCCAGTGTGTCATGACAGGATTTATTCTGTTCAAGTCAAGCGTGAATCCCCCGACGTCGCTGCTGTGTTCATGCAGCTTGGTGGAGTTTTCTCATTAGTTTCTTTTTTTATTGATTGTGAAGCTTTTAAAAGCTAAAAACAACTAGTGGATATTAATATTTATAGTTKCCACTGTGTTTCCCCCTTGTGTGTATGTTGTTACTTTTTTAATTAAAACCTCAGAATGTGATCATTGGTCATACTACAACTGATTAGATGTAACTTTTGGAGTTGTTAGCCCAATTCAAGATGGTCACTGCTAATAGGCATTAGCTAAACTCAACTAATTTACCAGCTATTGAACTAAAACATTAAAGCACTGAACTGATGGAGATGGGGGTGTTCTTAAAAAAAAACATACCATTTTTCTATGTCATTATTGAGTATGAAGATATCAATAAACTTGTAAAAGAAATCACATGTGTATCTGCTTGGAGGGAGTCACACCAGGGCCTCTTTAACCAACAAGCAGAAGTGGGCAGCACTAATCAGAAAATTAGTTGCGCTAACCCTAAAGCACTAACTTTAATATTCAGGTCCCCTAATTCTAAAGCACTAACACACTTGAAATTTTAGAAAAAGCTATTTCTAAAGCACTGAAGTCCCTGCTGACCCATAGAACATTCCTCAGAATCAACACGAGATCATATTTTCTGTGTGCAGAAATTTATTGTTAATATTGCTATATTAATTATTGTTAATATTGTTAATATTTCATATAGTGTAGTGGTTCCCAACGTTGGGYTCGAGACCTCTTTGTGGGTCACAAAACATCATAGATGATTTCCAGACATCAGTTTAAATGCAAAAAAAATGCTAATAGAATATTTTCATCATGATTATTGCATTTTTTAAAATAATCATAAATGGATAAAAATTTGTATAATGTCACTAGGTTTGACACAAAGACAAACAAGCATACCAAATAGTTGTTATTGTTATTATTCCCATGTTAACAGAGTTATTAGTAAAGTTTGCTACATAAACAAGAAATATATGGGGTCACGAGTGTCTGCAACTGTTATTTTGTGGGTCGGAAGCAAAAAAGTTTGAAAACCARTGATAGTGYARAAGTGACASGCATATGACCAACGTCTGACAGCTTTCACCCTRAGCTGTTGACAATYTTTATCAATCACATTTAAAGAACTAAATTAGTGCTTATAAAGAATTTTTTTGTGTCTTAATCCAATTTATTGTGTTATTTTTAACAYTAAGAGAAAGCTTTAGCAGCAGTGACTTTAAAAGTTAGTTTGAAAGGAACTTCAGATTAAATAGTGTTGTGATCTTTTTAACATGAGTAATCTCTTTCACACTCTTTATTTCTTTTGTAATCGTAGTTTTTAATTTAATCTTCTATTTCCTGCTTTTCTTGTTCACACTCACGCATTCCTGTTCTGCTTTTTTCTCTTTGACTTTAGTAAACAGCTCATAAAAACGCAGCAATAGGTGGAAGGTGGACTTATCGCAAATCCAGACACACGTCTTATTCAGCCCAGCTGGCACTCAGGCTTCTTTTTACTTTAACATKCCTTCATTTCCCCTTCGCTGTGCTCTGTGCAGTCTCCTTTCATGCTTCTCAGTCAGCTGGCTTTTACACAGTCCTCAATAAGAAGGTCTCTTAGCTGCTGCAGCTTGAAAGCTAAGTTAATTTTATTCAGTTAGTTTTTGTGTGAATGATGATTCAACATAAAAAAATAAACCATCTCTTCTCACAACCCACAAAGGTTCTAGGAAAATACTTTCTTACAATGTTCTGCAACGGGGCTTGCACAAATCGATTTGCAAAAGCAAACACTTTTCGAGTGTTCCTGTTGAAACTACACCAGCTGCTTTCCGTCTCTGCAGAATGTCTCTGCAGGCCAGATCTTCCCTGTCCTCCCCCATATCCCAAAACAATACGCTTGGGGCCCCTGCTTCTGGAGACCTGGAGGAACATGTGTTTTATTTTTAGAGCTCGTTCCCTCAGCCCACACTGGAAATGTAAAAAAAAAAAAAGAAAAGAAAAGCTTTCCGTTCATACATTGTTTCTAAAAGAGGCAAAGTCAGAGCAAATAGAAAATGCAGACAAATCCTTAATTATGCTGTGAAAAGGCTGATTTTCAGATATTTGGAGTCAAAAAAGAGCTCCTGGATGAGCATTTGATTTAGTTCCCCACGTGTCCTCAGTTACTGCTTTCTTTACCCCCCCCCCCCCTTTCCAGGAGATGACACATAATTCTCAATTAGTGCACACATGCACAGACACACACACTGCAAGAC